GTACTTCAAAAATATTATCCCGACACCTGTCTCAAAGATTAAGCTGATTAACTTAATAGCCCTAAAATAATAATAATAATAATATCATATTAATAACCATTCATTATGTAATCATATAAATCATAAATAAATTATAAATCAACAATTACCTTTTTGCCTTAATATTAAATTTCAATCTTTTTGCTACTTTTGGTAAAGGGTCATGCATAACCGATTGCCCTTTTTGATGCCCATTATCTATATCTAATGGCATCGACCAGAGATACAATTACCTTGAACCTTGCATCCACTATATATTCTCCTATTAAATGACTTGGAGGGATTATTTATTATTTCATCACACTTGACATCCGGGTTGTTGTCCAGAAAAAATCATTCATTAATAGCGAACCCTTTGAATTGCTTCTTGTGGTTCATAGCCATGTGTCTACCATAGTAACAATGATCCACAGTAGGCATGAGAACTTGAAATACTTGTTCCAAAACCTACAAAGCACAAAAATGTAAAATAAATTAATACAAAAGGGCAAATGTTGTGAAAACCAAAATTTCCAAACCAATGTTACATTAAGTTAAAAAGAATAAAACATTTTGATAGTCTAACATAAACATCCACCCCAAATTACCAGTCATGTCAATTTCCTCTCTTAGAAGTTGCAAGAAAAAGGTCCAACTATTTGCATTTTCAGCCTCTACTACTGCAAGGGCAAATTGAATGACTTCATTATCTGCATTAAGGCATGTAGCGGTTAATAGAGGTGTCAATTGGACTGGATTTAGTCCAATCTGGTCCAGTCTAATGTGAGTCGATTATAAATGGACCAGGTCGAATCTAATCTAGTGAATGTTCTGGACTAATTTGGACTGGTCCAATTCAATGTCTGGACCATCCAATATGTTCAAATTCATTTTGATTTAGAGTAATTTCAACCCAAACCCAGTCCATTAACACATATATTCTTATCTTATATCAATGGACTAGATTTTGGCTTAATCCAACCCAATCCAATATAAATTTGTTATAGACAGACCAGATCCAATCCAATCTAATAAATATTTTGGATTGGATTGGTCTAATCCAATATGTCTTGTTAGTCCATTCAATCCATCCAAAACAGTCCATTGACACCCTTAGCAGTTAACAATTGGCCTCCAAATGGGCTCTTCAAATGGCAACCACCTAACATTATGTACCTTTGACATGCTGGAATTATCCCATTGTTCACCCCTTTGAAGCAAATAAACATCCTCTTAAAATAGGTATATGTGGCATCTGAGTGAGGCATCTCTGTCTGAAGTCGTGCAATGCTTCTAGGGTTGTACTTAGGGGTGGATTCGAGTCAAGCTGAGCCGAATACTTGACTATTTGAGCTCGGCTCGCAGGAATAGTATCGAGCTCAAGCTCGATTCGAGATAGAGACTTGATCTTGAGCTCGACTCGATTCATAGCTCGCAAGTTCAAGCTCAACTATAAGCCAAGTTTTTTTGAAAAATAAAAATTATATGTGTAAAATTATTATTTTTTATTTTTAGACAAAAAATTAAGAATTATAAAAATTATTTACTATTATACATAAAAATAAAAATATTATTATATATAATACAATTATTTATTATATATATATATATGTATGTATGGATATATATAATAAAAATTATTTATTTAATACTAGGCTCGCGAGCCTCATGAGCCGAACTTCACTGGGCTCGAGCTCAGCTCGATTAGCAAATGAGCCTATATATCAAGCTCAAATTCGGCTTGAAGTTCAGTTTAAACCGAGCTGAGGCGAGCTTAAAGCTCATGAAAGGCTCGGCTCATGGCCATCCCTAGTTGTACTTCTATACAACCAAAGAATAATTGCCAGCCTAGCATACTACTCCTTATGAGAGCCATTGATTTCTTTCATTGCCTTTTTGCATTGCACGATACAATAGACCTTCTCCATTACACATTAATGCTTTCTTTGGAGCTTGAAAGCTCCTAAAAATAGCTTGCCTTTATTGTTGGGTGTTGTAACTCTTTTGCTATCCACGTATTTATAGCTTGCTTGTTTCCCCACACTTGTTGAAACAAATGCTAATCAACCATTGTTTTGATCATAAATGTTGCCCCACCTTGTAATCGGGATGCATGACACCTCCAAGGACAACCATTTGTTGTGCACACGACAATAACTCTCCTAGTCTCGTTCTTCGACTTGACAATATTATACCCATTATAGACATAATAGTCCTTAAAAGCCTCTCTCTCTCTCTCTCTCTATCTATCTATCTATTAGCAAATATCATTCCAATAGCCAACTTATGAGATTGGCTATCAAATCTTAGCACCTTAGTTATTAACCCATCATCATTAGAAGAATAAATACTCTTTGGCTTTGAATTGGTTTCATGATCTTATAAGGCATGCTTATCTTTTTTTTTTTTTTTATAAGAACAAAGAGGTTTTACACAAGTCGAAGGTAGCATGACCCCAAAAATAAAAAAGCAAATAAACTCTAAATCCTTTGAGGTGGAACCCATATAGAGATAAGCAAGGAATCTTGGTTGTTTGAGAGCGCTTCATGCCGATTATCTAAATCAGCATCAATGTTCTCTATTGCAAATCCACTAGACAAAGCAAGAATTTCTTATTTCTTCTTCCATCTCCTTGTCCGCCATTTCAGTGTCATATCCATTCTCTTGTCTTGGAGCCTCAATTTCATCCTCACTAATCTCATATTCAAAGTCTATCTCAACATCCTCCTCACCCATGCTTGCATCAAACCTCTCATTTAGATTTGTATTGCTAACACCAGCACATGAAGTACTAGCATGGATACACCTTCTTGTTCATCATTATGAGCTATAGAAGGAAAAGGTTGATGAAGAATATCAATTGCATCATCAAATTCACTATTCACATTCATGATGGAAAATGGACTCAAGTGCATGCCATAGAGCATACAAAGTGATAGTGTCTTCCTCTTTATAGTGAATCATCATTTGCATAATGTGCCCATCACCTTCAATTTTTTCCATACCATCCAAAGTCTACCTACCCGGTATCTTGTAATACAAATGGAGTATGGAAAAACTTGGAATAATGGCAGATATATTTGCCAAATTTATCAATAGTTCACAGGCTAATGTGTAGGGGGTCCAAACATTTAAACATAAACACTTCCCCCATGTACTCTACTTGCTTCCTTATAGTCCTTCTAAATTCTCCATCACAATGTATGACTAGCTTTATAACATGCGTGGCCATTCTCTACAAAATGAAGCCAATATGTTAGTTAAAAAGAAGTAATTCTTGTAAGAAAGTAATATAACAACATTTCTATAAACAACAATCTAATAAAAGAATGAAAGTTACACACCAATTGATGTAGGTATACTTGGCATGCCTCGGATTGCGCCACATGGCATCGACCAGATTAAATCCTGGCTGCACATCGCCAACTGCCTCCAACCACACCAAGGCAAGGTCGGCTATAAAAGGGGTGCTCATCTCAAGGTAAAGACACTTACACTTACTCTCTTGCATTCAGAATCCCAAGAAAATTATCCTTGACAATTAAGGACTAAGCTTTGAGCCCTCGTATCAAGCCTGGTCCGACCCCTCTTTGGCACTTGGCTAACTTGACCGTCGAAGTCTCCATCCCTGAGATAACACCTAGGGCCTCTAATGTGTACTCTTTTCCTATTTACATGTTAGACCCATCGGCAACACCAACAAAATTCCCTTGTTGCCCTTGACCCATCTTTGGCAGCAACACCAATAATTAAAGAAATTTAATTATTGTAATTTTTGTAAGAAAGCAATATAACAAAATTGCAAGTGCACATTTTCCATGCACCGGATCTGCTATGAATACAAGTGTGAACCTGGTTAACTGACCAATCACAAGTGAACATGCTAGTGTTCTATATACATAACTACATACATGATTGGTCACTTAGCTAAGTTTGCATATTTGTGTTAACACCAAATTTAAATTCTATCTTATTGGCACATATCATAAAAAAATCAAAAGGCAATTCAATGCAAACAAACAAAACAAAGAGTATTAATAGATTTTTTTCAATGTGATTGGCCCCACAATGAACCCTTTGAGCAACAAGTAATTATCAATTAATTTAAAGACAACAAAACACACTCTGTTGTCCAAATTCCTTTCACTAATAAATGTACAAGAATTTATACAATGCATTTTAAATACTTAAAACACAATGGCTCAATAACTCAGCATGAAAAAGAGTGACTTGAGGGTTTTATAATTCTTCTTTTACCAAATCACTTTCTAAAATTTGCAAATCTACCAAATTACTTTTTGGGTGTTGCAAATGCATTAAATGTCCTTCTTAAGTTTGCATATATACCAAATTTGATATATTCTTAGACTAAAATAAGGTGGAACATTTGCTTTTCTTCTTCAGGGCATTTTTTTTTTGGATTTTGAGGGGGGGGGGGGGAGAGTTGGTTCTCATTGACCAAGAATCCCATGTTCCTTTTTCATATTAATGTGCGGACTAGGGAAAGTTACTTCTTTTAACAACCACTTAATCATCAAACAGGGCCAAAGACTCATTGTGTTAGATTTTAAATAGGATTAAAATTGATATTTTGTTTTGTGCTTTTTTCATAATTTAAAATGGATGAAGGGACGTTTAGGATAGAGAAGTCATATTGCAATTCCCTTAGACTATGTTTGGGTTGAAGGAAAAGGTAGAAAAAGGAAGGGAAAGACAAGAGAACCTATACAAGGTTTGTAAAGGTTTCCTACCTTTTCCTTCCTTTCCCTGCATTTTTCTTCAAATAAAGCGTAACCTTAGAATGAACAAATAATGAGCATTGCGATTTAAAACTATAAGGGGTGTTTTAATAATTACGTGAACAAATATAGGGGTGTTTTAGTAATAGGAAAACCATAGGGGGTGTTTTAATAATTGCGTGAAACTATAAGGGGTGTTCAAAGTAAATGACCTTTTTTTCCGCTAAGTTGCCCACTATATGCCGCCCAAACAACTACTTCGTCTTCTCTCGGAAGCCAAAAATTTGGAATTTTCTAGTTCATTCTCCGAAGTCTAAACAGAGGTTACAGAGCGGGTGAAAGAACCAAACTCAGCATCAGGGATCATTTTACTCTGATTTTTCACTTCAGGTCTCTCTTACTCAGAGTTCTGAATCTGGGTTTTCTTCATCTTTGATTTCTATGACTACTAATGTTCAAAAAATGTTACAACTTGCTGGTCTCCCATTTTTTTCAGGCAATTTTTTCATCATGGATTTGGACCCGGAAGGCGTATTTGGGGACGACGAAGAGGAGCTTGAAGATGATTTTTTTCAGGTTTTGTCTTATCCCCACTTTGTTTTTCATGTATTTTTTTTTTCATTTTTATCATAAAAAGTAAGGAGTTATGCTTCAGGAAAGAGTAGCTACCAAAGAACTCGTCGTGTATCTCATAGATGCTTCGCCGAAAATGTTCAGCCCTGCGGGTAAATTGGTAAGTTCGTCTCTACCAAGATAAAACCATTTTAACTGCTACTCGTAGAGTTCATTGGAAATCCACAAGGAACTATATACAACCAGTGTCATTTCTGCTGCTGGGTATGCAGACCAGATGTGACGAATTCTACTTTTATAATACAAAGCGTAGAGAAATACATTCTAAAGCTTGTCTGAATTCAAGAATTGTGAGATAATGTTAACTTAGTCGTCAATCATCTACAAATTTATTTATAGAAGTATGCATATATCAAGAGTTATGATGAATTCTTAGATCTTGATAAAAACATGAATGTATCACGTCAGATCCTTTTTCTTTGACTGGAATTTGGTTTGCCGAAACAAGGGTCCTTACTATTATATAAAGCAAATTGTTACATGCTCTTTACTTATCTAGTTTATAGTCCAATCAATACAAACTGCTTACTCTATTTGGCACAATAAACTGGGGCATGCTTTGTCTCGCCAAATGTCAATCCTCTCTAATGGTAGCTTAGCTTCACCAAATAAAGCCTATAATATATGTGAAAAGGCCAAACACACCCGAACTCTATTTCCTATGAGCTCCTCTCGAGCTTTAGCTCTATTTGGTCTCATCCATTGTGACATCTGGGGTGCCTACTATGCACGTACACACTCAGGTGCTAGATTTTTTTTGACCATAGTTGATGACTACAACCATTGTACATGGGTGTTCCTTATGAAAAATAAGTCCAATACATACAATTTCTTGATTTCCTTTTGTAACATGGTGAAAAATCAATTTTGCACTATTGTTCGGGTTGTTCGTTTTGATAATGGTAAAGAATTTCTCTCGGGCCCAATGCAACAATACTTAATGGACAATGGCATTGTCCATCAAACATCATGTGTAGACTCCCCTTAGCAAAATGGTGTTGTTGAGAGGAAGCACCGCCACTTACTAGAAGTTGCATGTGCCTTGCGTTTTTAGGCTTCACTCTCTTTAGTATTTTGGGATGAATGTGTTCTCACCACAGCCTATATTATCAATTACTTGTCTGCAATACAATTACAAGGCAAATCCCCTTATGAGTTGTTTTTTGGTAAAACCCCTTCTTACACCCATTTACGGACCTTTGGATGTTTGTGTTATGCTCAAGAGCATCATCTTTCAAAGGACAAATTTGCACCAAGGGCCTCGAAATGTAATTTTGTAGGCTATCCCACCAAATTTTTACTTCTTGAGATGTTTCCTTTTATGAAACAACATTTCCGTTTGCTAACACCACGTCATAGTCTTCACTTGTCCCATCTCACAAGAATGTGGTCATCCCTTTACCCTAGTTTGAGGACCCCTTTATTGACCCCTTTTCGTGATTATGATTATAGTTTACCCATCTCTCTCTCTAACACTATTGCTACAGCCCCCTTACCATCTGAACTTACCACTTACTCGTAGGATGCACGTGACCCCAATTGATGTGAGGCCATGGAAACCGAGATTGCTGCATTGGAGCGCAACTAAACATGGTCCATTGTGGATCTACATCTTGGAAAAAAACCAATAGGATCAAATTGGGTGTATAAATTGAAGCTTCACGATGATGGAACCATTGAGCGCTATAAGGCAAGACTAGTGGCTAAAGGTTATACACAGATTGAGGGCCATGATTATCACGATACATATGCTCCTGTGGCCAAAATTGTAACTCTATGGTGCCTTCTCGCCCTTGCTGCTATAAAGGGATGGGAACTACATCAGTTAGATTTTGGGAATGATACTGCCCACATTGCTGATCTGAAGAGATACATGACTACTTCCATCTCAAACATTTTGGGCCCC